ACAGGTGAGGGCATTACGCAGGGTGTCATACTTTTCGTCAGGGACAAGGCAAGCAACTGTGTAAGAAGTGGTGCATTCTCTCATGACGAGGATTAACTGCTGTTCACGCTTGATGACGTCGGCTGCAAATGAGATTCCGATAACCTCTGGAGGATCCTCTGAAGATTGGCTGACGAGGGTACTGGGGAATTTCTGTAGAGATGCGCACGTGTGAAAGATAGAAGAAACCCGGGTTAACGCTGGTTGAGTAAAGCTTGACGGAACTGCTCGCGAACTGTGTCCTCGAGTTAGCCTCCTTCGCAGGCTACTCCATTGGAAACGTGTTCCTGTGTTCATATTCTTGACCGAGAAGAACTGGTGTAGAGAGATTAGGAATTAATGAACAAGAGGAGTAGCCTGCTGTAAATCGAAGTGTATGGACGAGTGAATTCACGCTGTGGACATCTGAATTCACCCCGAGTATATCCTCGAGTATATTATAGGCTATCCTCGAGTATCGTATTGGGATCCAATTGCACGGCTTGAGAGTAAGGAGGGCTGACCGTAGGCTTCGGTGGGGGTGGGAGTACCTCGCATGGAGATCAACTGTAGTGTGACGAGCGAAGCATATATGCTCATGATGTCGAATACGTTGTGGTTCGTCGGTATCATTAGTTATTCGAGCCCTGCCATCTATGGTTTCGAGCAGTTGTGGTTGGATCCAAGAGTCAGTGGTGGGCTCAACAGCGATTGTGGAGTCAGTGCCTAGATCAGACGGCACGATGACTTCAAAGAAATCGCCTGGCCAGATAACAGTAGCTGTGGTGGGTGAACGGATGACATAGGCCATAACATAAGGTGAAAATGTGTACTTAACTTTGGACGAAGTTCGCTCTTTTACGGCCACAGGATAGACCGTCTCATTGCCAGGCCTTTGCTGAAGTTTAAAGACGCTGCCCCCACGCCAGAAGATAACACGAACGATACAACGAATGAGCTTTATTCGTGAACACTACAAAAATGGCGGACACGATAATAACACTAAAAACAGTCAGGCGTCACTCACGTGAGCGCGCGCATAAAACTAAACTAGAGTCCGCAGGTAGTAACCTGCTGGTGCTGGTGGTTGTTTAACCGTTTCAAGACAATTGTGGACAATTTTTTCGTTTCCCAAAGGTGTCCACTTACAGGAGATTTGATTGTAGTCTCTGTAGTCTGGTGGGACCTCACAGAAATTCTTTTTGAAGWTCTGTTTGAGTGGCGAATGATCCAACTCAATGAAGTAGGAAATACTCAAAATTCTCCAGTCCAAATAACCTGATCATTGAGACTTTTTCTTCAATGTTGGAATACCTGTCTTCTGCATCAGTGAGTGAWCATGATGCCATGTGGACAATCTTCTCATTTCCATGATTGTACAGTACTAGTCTATTTGTCTTAACCAGGCACCCAGTCCCTTCATGCTAGCATTGCACTACAAAGTATGCTAGATGTATCTGGATTGGTGTCATAATAGGATAGGAATTGCGCTGAACAAAGTTCTTCCTTAATGTTCTCAAGTGCTGTCTAGTGAAGATACTACTTCCCACTTAAAGTGGACATTTTTCTTGGTCAGCTCACAAGTGGTGATTTACCTTACTTTTCTGCTAGTTTTCTTGAAAACCAGAACTCAAGAAAGTGATAATGCCACCTATCATTCCATTTATTCATTAGATAGATACTGGTACTAAATAGATATATTTTTCCGGCTTTCCAGATTTCACAGACCAATGATGATCTGAATTACATCTGGATTACATAGCTACTGAGGGTGCYATTGAAGGCACTTTCAGCAGCCATGTAGTTTACAAACATGTGAGCATACTTTGAGTACAAAATAATATAACATGAGTTAGATTTGTAGAGCATGTAATGCTATTCATTCAATGAGACAGTGTTTTTACCTGTGTGTCCACCTTGAGCTGCCCAGTGTAAAGGAGTAGATCCAGACTTATCTAAGCCATTTACAGACACCTGGCAAAACATAAAATAGCTTCAGTGTATCATCATAATGCTTCATCCTACTATTACTATTGATTGATTTTTAATACATGTACCTTATTTTGAAGACATTCTTGTAGAAAATTCACATTTCCTGTGTAATTTTGAAACAAAATTTAAATATGAGTATTCGGCAATAAAAATATACCATGACTATCAGATCAAATACAAGTCCATGCAGAATGTCTCTTCTACGGTGTAGACTTTCAGTACCTCTTTTTGCAGCTTCATGAAGAGGGTTATCTACTGATTCTGTGTGTTCTTCAACTAAAAAAAATCATTTTTATCATCAGCAAGAGTTCTTAATAAGTTAATAATAATTAAATGAAAATGAGAGGTATGGTATAAAAAAGTGCAGTACAGTACTCCCACTTCAGATAGGAGGTCTAAATTTTTATATTTCATAAGTACACCAGAAATAAAGGATTTGAAATCACAAGTTGCACACTATTTATAACCTCACAAATAGAGGTCCTATCATATAACTGTTTCCACATTGCAGTGCCCACACAGTCATAATATTATAATCAAATTCTCAGATTGGCAAAACAAATTGCAACATATTGACCATGGCATCATAATATCAAATTTGCTTATCAATTTGCCTACAAAAAAAACAGCTTTGACTACTGTAAATTTTTTCAACCAAAAAATAAAAAATATTTTAAAAAATGTGTTTGGTATCAAATGTGCAAGCTTACCATAATTTGAGGGAATGAGGCCTACTTTCTTTCCCACCTTGGCTTTCCACCATTGACCATCACCCTGCCAATGATGAAACAAGTTTGCTTGTTTGTTTAATATTTTTTATTGTTATTTATTTATCTATTTATTTTTAATAACTTTATGACTAAAGCTCATGAGATTTGGATTGGTTTTTACCCTTTGACTACTGGGACTTTTGAGRAAAATAAGGCATTTTTGAGGTTAAAAGATTTCAAATCTCCTCTCAACATGGTGTTTGCCCTTTCTATTGAAACGTTTACAGTTTTGTAATACTGAAGGCTTTGTTCAGTAATACCGAAGGCTCATTATTCTTGCACAATGCTTCGTTCAACAGTTTGCTTGTTTTGGCAGGAAGCTATACTCCAAGAAATACGGATTTTTGCTGTTTTTTGCACCTTTCTTGCCTTTAGTCACTACTCTAGGGACATCATGAAGTTTGTAGGTAGAGAAGGAGCTCACTTGCTGAAAGATGCCAGATTGGTGTGTAACTTTTTAGACAATTTCGTTTGAATAAGCGATTCGGTGACCTCGGWAACTTTGCTTTAAATACTAGTTTACTTGAAGCTGTGKCTGTATTATTATTTAATTTGTTGGTTTGGTCCTCATGGACATTTTTTTTCTCATACGCTATATATTTAGTATAAAGCCTGGTTTCTATATAATCGCTAGGATCGCCACAATTGCCGGAAATGGAGTAGAGGTTGTCATACGACTTCCATATATGGATGTCCATATGAATGGCTCTGATGTACCTATAGAAAACTCTCATGTCCCTATAGAAGGTTCATTAATTATATATTTAACACTTATTTACTGGAACCGAGGGAAACAGTATGTTTTGTGGTCCCGAGACCGCTGATGTTTCCCGAAGCGAAGCTGAAACATCAGCGGTCGAGGGACCGCAAAACATACTGTTTCCCGAGGTTTCCAGTAAATAAGTGCTTTATTATCATATCAAGTGTCAAAGAGAGCAAAAAACGTAAATAAATGAAGTGTTTTTATTAAAGATTTTGATAAAATGACTGAAAAATGGCAATACAAATAGTCAAATGTCACTAAAATCAATCAATGTAATAACACAATGAATACAATAACTATTTGTAGACGAAATTAAATGTTTCAAAACAATTTTGGAATTCACCGTCCGTAAATGTGGCATTTTCACGACACTGAAGAGTGTTTTTCTGCGATTTTGTACTTATTGACGGTCCACAACATATTATTGACCGCTGGTGGACAGTTGCCGGGAAACAGTAAAATTTTGTGACTTTCACGTGGTACACTCTCGACCAATAAGATACTAGGAAAAGTGAACTTTGACACTTGATATATAATAATCAATCTTATGTACATATGCATGGTTATTTATGCATGCCGTTACATAAAATGTCAGGCATGAATACATTGCTGAAAATAACTTCTGACACACCTCTGTATGGACACTATGATAGACACAAACTGCCTACCACCAAATGGATATTAACACTCGTTTAACTTTTTTAACTTTTTTGTACGACATAAGTCGTTTGACCGTTCGAGCTTTATTAGGCATTTTTTTCATTTCGCGAACTTTTAGGAAATATAACGAAACATGATCGACCTTACATTTACTTCCGGTTGAATGGAATCCTATTTCAACGTTATTTCCCTTACATTTGCCTTCATTCGTAAATATTAGCCAGTTGAGGGACGATTCTATCAATCACTATCAATACAATTGACACAAGAATTCGCATCATGCATCAAAGGACATACAATCTAGAATAAGGAAATTAGATGTGGCGTGACGCCTACATTCATGTATTAAACCAATGTTAAATAATCGACATTGCCGCTTGCAAGYTCAAATCGTATTATACTTACTTTATCAAGAATATACAAGATGTCGCCTTCCTCAAAGCTTAGCTCGTCGGGCTGAGACATAAAGCACTATTATCGTTTCTGTACATAAYATCATRCGAACTACATGAACTTTATCGCATCACCTGATTCGCTGTGTAGTTGWACATAGCCCTGACAACTTGCACTTGCCCTGCACAAACACACAATCTTCATTACACCTTCAATCTCAAAAAGAAAGTATTCATAATTCATACCTGGTCTAGGAATTGGTGGAGGGGGTCGACTCGGCGCGGGACGAGACATTTTCTTCCTTGACAATGTTTTCGATCACTGAAAGTAGAACTGCGCAGGTCACTGAGCYTCTTGTACTGCAAGTCAGCGGTTTTAAAATAGCTAATAAAACAAAATGGTGGCCAATGTTAAGAATTGTTCATTTTTTTTTACAGTTTTTAAGGTGTGATATCTACATAGAAATGCTGAGGAAGATCTATTCACTCACCTTGGGAGATAATTGCTTCAGCGATGCTCTCAATTTGTTGGAAATTCAAGAATTATTGCAGTTTGATGTTTGGAATGTCGCTTCTGATGATATTCTATCAAAACTTACCATTTTACACAGAATGTTCCGTTCTCTGTCTAGAGGATCTTGTTGTCCAAAGTTGATTGATATTTGTAATTACTTGGTTGACAATAACGTTATTACTGTACTGTCATCATTGATGGGTGTTGATAACCAATATGTTGTTTATATGTCTGCCAAAGCAATGATATCTCTCGTTATGTACCGACCTTCCTTGATCAAGAAGTTGCAACTACAACAACATTTTGTAGACTGCTTGAAATTCAAATGGAAGCCAATTTATCTGATGAAGGTGCTGACTCAAGTTGTGAATAGTTCGTGTAGTTCAGAATGCCAAGGGAAGAAACCTACTAGTGTGTCATGTAAATGTAGCATGACCTCAAATCATATGGATACTGGATCCAACCCAGAACACTATCCTGCATTATATGTTAACTTGATAATTGAAGGAAGTAAAGAATTTCTTATCTCATCATATTGTTCTTTGTGGAAAGACATTTTTGAAAACTACATTCATTCAAACACAGACACAAAATACACAAATTGTGAACTTGAAAAGGTTTGTGAAGTTCACAGAAATACTGGTGCAATGGTTCAACAGAATCTAAATAAAAGATGCATTGAAATTTCAAATAGAAATGAACAAGTTTTGCTATCATTTCTTCACTTTTTGTCAGCATTTTTCAAATGGAAAGTTACTAATGATTTGTACCTGGGAAATACAACTCTACTGAAAGAACACAATCAAAGTGCAGTGATGAAAAATTGTGATCATCTACTTCTAGTAATCCCATTATTTGTGCACATTCTTCAAGATAAAGGGTTATCTAGTGAAGTTTGGAAAAGTGTTGTTGAACTTCTGTTATYATGTCTGTGTACAGATACAAATGAGAATCATCCTTTTGCCTTTGTTCTTTCCCATCATATTAGTGTAGCCATTGTAATGGMAACTACCATTGGTGTTCTGGATAAGATACCTGTATRTAATGGCTTTGAAGGATTTGGAGGAGAAAATATAGCTCTTCTAAATAGTAATCATGATAATCAATTGTTACGTCATAAGGGTTTATCACGTCGAATATCACTATTGATTATCAAGGCATCATTTGTTTTGATGAATGGACAAAACAATGGTAAGTATCTATTATTTCTATAGTTACATGTATTTGTTTATCTCTTTATGTATTCCTTGGATGATCCTACCATATGTCATTATTCAACAAGGAAAAAAGACTCCCATTCAGTCATCCTGTCAGTTATTGCTATTTTTCTCTCTTAATTTGCTTACATTGTGTGTTATAATTAGTTCTTTCTTCACAATTACAGAAATGCCAAGAAATGAATACTTAATTATTGCTTCAACATTCAGGTTCTTTAAAGCTTGTCATAGAAGCTCTCACCACTTGGTYGCTGTCCCTGCTGTCCAAYAAGAACAACTACATTAACATGCTGTTGGACATGTTTGCTGATCAAGATGACGAGATGCTTGAGATGATGCTCTTCTTGTTAAAGCTGCATATCAGCCTTATAAAGTAAGATAAATTTAGTATGTATAATGATACTGTCTTGTTTAATTGAAACATTAAAAAAATCKTGGAGTTTGGACAGATAGACTGAAGGCCCAGTTCAGACAGAGATCTAATCAAATTGATGTTTAATTCATGAACAGTTCGTACAGTGAATTCATTAACATTGGTGGATTTAGATACTTTGGGAAAGTCAATATAAACTGCTACAAACAAAGTGMCTTCTGTTTGGAACACAMAGCAATTTTCAGATGTCACTAGCAAACATGATGCATTGTGGGGGGATTAATTCCATTCTKTACGAAAAGTCAGTTCATGGATGTCCCACAGTACATCAGACAGCAGTTCAGTTTTATTACATTGGATCTGACATATATGATTAGTTGCTAAAGGCCAAATTGTATTCAGAGTTGCATGATTTGCAATCATGAATCTAGACTCATTCCTCACATGCATTTCAGTTTAACTTCTATTCGTCCATGAAATAAGATATAAACTATCACTCCAAAAACAGTGTTTCTTGYACYCCCAGCATTYCCTTTTGTCTTTCTCTCTAATTTATTTGGTTCAATGAATATTGCTGATATACTGCCAGGTTAAGTGTGCTCAATGGTTGCCAAGTGATGGCTTTATTAGTATTGACAAACAATAAGTTCAGTTTTTCTTTCCTTTTCTAGAACAAATGAAATTGGTCCTGATGYACAATCTGCCATTGATAACTTCAACCCCCATGTGCTGTTTGTTGAATTCCTGTCTACCATTCACTTTGACCATTCTGTTCTCTTGGACTTTCTTGTTTCAAGTGAGACTATGTTCCTGGAATACATTACATGTTATTTACAGCTAGTTTTGTGTGACTGGAAGGGATTTTGTAATGACATTCAAGCACACTTTATAAAAGAAGATATTCCAAAGCAAACCATGATCAATGGTAACATCAAAGGTGATGATGAAAGTAGTGTTGGTCTGTTGTCTAGTGATGCTTATGGTAGTGATTGGAATAGTTTAGATGATCATGATGTCCTTGCTGTCCATGATGTTGATGGTGTTGTCRGTGATGTTGTTACCAATAAATATGATAGTGATAGTGTTGATGATGTTGTTGATATTGATGATGAATGCATCAAAGATGTTAGCTGTTCTATGCTTAGTTCCCAGTCCATACTAGAAAGAACAATGTCTTGTCTAATCCATCTAAGGATTTCTGTCCAGAGACTAGTGAGGGCCAGTTTATTCCCATATAATGTCAATCCATTGTTAAAGAAGTTTGAAGCTGTCGAAAATCGTTTTGATGGATATTAGATAAAGGAATGTATTGAAGGTAACTTGTGATAATCTCTGAATATAATCGTGCACATCTCATTTTGTTATGCCACCTGTTAAACGAATAACGGCTCAACTGAAATACAAACTTATGTAATTTACAGACTTTGTCACTGAGTTGTTTTGAACTTTCTGAACTGAATCATTTAAAAATGAGATGAAGCATTTAGAAATATGCGACAATTATGTAATTGCAACAGGCACATGATTCATGTATGACAACCACACCACAATAATGCTTTTCCCATAAGTCCAATGAATAAACTTAATAGTTGTATAAGTATTATTCGTGATCTAAGTGATTGTTAGTGCTTTATTTTAAGATTATTATTTTAGTGTGCGATATTCATATGATATAATATTAATTGATATAATGTAATATAATTTTTATAATTTCTTCTTTCTTACATTTACAGTGGCCTGCCACTGAATAGTTTTAACTACTTGCAGGTTACTGGAAGCCATGTAATCTATACTCATCAAAATGATAATAAAGTCTGTGCACGTGTGAATGCATATACTCGATGAGAAAAACGATTAGCCTCATTAGCTKGTGCTGTAGTATTCAAAGCAACACTTACTCCTTTCTCAGGTGCGCAAATRACTATCGCAATCAAAGATTATAAATGAGCTTTATAATCAAATTTAAATTCACTTAACAGGGGTTGGAACGGAATCTTGATCAGTTGTTTTGATTTTTTAAGACGGAAGCGGATCTCTTTTCATAATATAAACACTATATTATCATAGGCTAAAAAAGGGCTTGTCTGCAGATAGAGTGGTTTTCATTAACCCGTGAAACACACTTTAGCGTATTTATCCCTATTACACTTTGGCTCTTGTTTTTTATTGTCTCTACGCGACTATTACGATCTATTACACTCTAATTATTACACTTTGTTTCACGGGTTTATGAAAGCCACTCTATTTATAAAGTCGATCCAAATCATTTAGTTCAGCCAATTCGTAGCGMATTCCTTAGTCAAACGCTGTGAACAAAAATTATGCGGTTCATGATGAGTATGCGAATATCTGAAATGGAGCTTTATGYTCAGTGACAATGTCAGTGATGTAATCATCCATCACCACCGAATTAATCCGTGTAACAAAGTGTATTAATAAACCAAAAACAACAAAGAAATAGGTGCAAAATAATTTAAGTGTAGTACGCTAAAGCTTATTTTAACAAAACCACTGAGTCAGACGTTTATCTCATGTTTATCTCGTTGCAGTCATTGGACTAGGGCCCAAGCGACGCTCCCGGCACAGCCCTAAAGCCGTGAAATATTCCACTCCAWTGACTAATATTGGTGAAACCTTATATTACAATCTGATATACATAGGTTTATAAAAGGCACCTTTCTAATATATCTTTGGCCTGCGACTAGTCGACCGCAAAGTAAAGGCGCGCGCCCGCCAGGCGCGTCATGAATAACCACAAGCCGAGGGATAATAAATGACTGTCCACATCATCTTATTTAACCACCATTGGCAAACAAACACCAATCAACTACTGTTCAACATTCTGATGGCAATGAGCAGTACACTGAGTATAGTAAGCACTACACTAAACGAGCTATCGTACCTATCGTTTATTTCTCTTTTAATATCTAAACGTAGAATCACTCAAAATTTACATAATGCTACTTTACAATATTTTTGATTACTCGAAATTAATCTCGCTTTCTTGGTCGGCCTCTTTTATCAGCATTTCTTTTTTCYTCTCCTTTTCCAGTGATTTCTCTCACATTTTTTTTTCTCCTATAAGGTTATTTGATAGCGTTATCAAGTGCAGTTATCTCTCTGAATCATATTATAAACATATATGAATCATGCAGGGGATGTAAATATAACTTAAGTAATAGTATTCATTATAACATACACACAGTCCTTACAGTTCTCCTCTCTGCTTTATTTGTCTATCTTCATTAATTGTGATTTTTCGTGAATGTTGATGTAAGAAATATGCCTTTTTCATTTGTTACATTCAGAAGGTCAAGCTCCCAGTGCGCGATATCCGTTCTTCATTTCCGTTTGTCTTTTCTAAAGTCCAAGTTAGTCTTGATTTCTAAATCTAAATKAGTGATTTTTCCATTTTTATASGCCATTTCTGTGATCAATTTCTACAATAAYTTTCTTCCTGTTATTCCCACTTCTGTTGGTGTGTTCTTATTGGTTGAMAGCGATTACTCATCGTCATTACGTGCAGTGGGAGGTCAACTAGGTTGTCTTTCAGCGGCCGGTTCGGCGTCACACAACCTCATCTATTACTTTTACAAAAGATATACAACACGCCACTTGGCTCGCTTTATGAGTTACTATTTTCCATTTCAGCTTGTCACTGAGACATCGCAACTAAACACCGCTCACGAAAATACACCAGAAGCCAAGGAAAAGACATTATGCCGCAAATACAAGGCAATACAACTGGAAATGTTTTTCATTCATCGCAGGGAATTATATCCGCACTTCTTGCAACATTGGGTATACTAGGRAATATMTTTGCTTTTGTACTCACAGTGAAACTTTTACGGCATCAGAAAATAGTCTGTAATGTGTTAGTSTTTGGCCTGATACTATGYGATCTTCTAGGGATTATTCTAATCTGTTCACCTACTTGGGCCGGCTATGTATATGGGCAATGGTCCGGAGGACAGGCCCTGTGCAATTTCCAGGGATTTTTTACTGTTTTTGCGAMTTTAGCGTCTGGTTTAATTGTGACATTCATGGCTATTGATCGTTACCTRGCACACCGAGCGCCTTTCTTTCACCGACAGTTTATTAGCTTTAGACTTGCCAAGAAAGTCATTGTGGGCATTGCTTTATTCTCAATTCTAATTTCCTCTTTGCCACTGTGTGGATTTGGCAGTTTTAGCTACAGCAGTACAGGAACATATTGCACAATAGTCGTGATCASGGCCGACGATCAAGTTTATAATTATTTCCTTGTATCAATAGGATTTTTCATGGTGTCGGTTGTGACATTCTCCAATCTTAATGTGCTTTATTGGATTTTGAAACGTAAGAAATCCGCTCGAAATCTTAAAGGGATGAAAAGCAAATTTAAAAAGGTAAATGAAACGAAGAAGACGGTTGCAGAGAAAGTGCAAGAACAGTATCAGCGAATGATGGTTGTCATTTCTATCCTGTTTCTGWTTTGTTGGACGCCATTTCTGGTGAGTACTAGATGATATATATTTGATTAAGATATATTTAGGAAGGTCTAAAATAGAGGGGTCGAGGCAAGCTCTTTCGTGTCAGGACCGGTCGATTATATATTCTGAATGGGTTTCTCTATTTCACTCCATGATAAACGACCTATGAACCCTGAGCGAATTGTTCGCAAACCACTTCTCATCTACACACAATATGTTAAATATATCCTCATTCTACTTGTCCAACAATATAACACCGACTGACAAAAGCCGTTTATTGTTAGCGGATTTTTATATGTTTTGTTGTGTAATATTGGCTTTGCCGTCAGTTCAATAAATATATGACATTTTCTTAAGTAAATATGTCGCAAGATAATTAACAATTGCCAGAATATGTATTTTTGCTAACAATGACCAAAATAGACAGAAAACGAAAATGAAAAATGTGAGACATTGGAAGCACGTTACTCAGTAAATACCTGTTTGAACCAACTAGTCTTTACTATATTTTCACACTTTATGTCAATATTACTTTTGCCAATATTTTTATTCTCAATCATTATAAAATCACCTGAAAAATCATGTATGTCACGCACTGCTGCGTGACAATGGTGACATTGATTCGTGACACACGTTTAAGCGAAATTGAATTTACAYCTTCATCACCACAGGCAATTAGTATGAAAACAGAATAACATCAGCCAAGAGTATGATCGCCTGGCGAGTGAACAAATAAACGTGAACAAAAGCAAAGAATATTATCTTGATAAAGTGGATCGGATAAAATAGCGAAATCTCTGTTAACTGTATTACTGCCAAAAAAAGCTGAGTTTCCTCCACTAATCATTCAGTATTTTCCCAATAGAATGGTTAATTTAGTGTTGTTAAGCGATATTGATATTTTGTCCGTCTTATTATGAATTGGTCAAATTTACATATCAACYTCTTCATGTGTTTCTTGCCATGGTATTTTCAGTTTGGCCGTTTTTCTTTGCTTCGCAACCGAGGTGCTTTCCCCAGGTGCAAGATGGACTAAGATTACGAACTGACTTATTTGAGTCCACAGGCAATGGCCTCATTTATTATCTAGTCACTAAGAGTTGATTTTTTTTTTGTTCTGTACGTGCTTCATGTGATTTACTTTAATTGTCTGTCTATAGTAATTACAGCATGGATAGCATGCATCTAAACCAAGAAACTCATTTATTCGCTTCCCTTTGCGAGTGATATATCACTGTTAAATTGCCGACGGTATGATSGTATCAGGAAAAAGTGACAGTCTACTTGGATGATTTCGCTTCTAAGTAGTGTTTCTCAAGCTCATTATCAAAAGCTTTGCGTTTAATCTAGAAAGCCGCAATGCCGATCGTACTAGTAACGAACTACCACATTTCAGTTATTTATGCAGTTGTAGCTCACTGATTTCAAACATTAAAACACGTTTTTTTTAGTGAGAATCTCTTCTCTTTCGCCAGGTTATTTTGAGGATAACTAGKTAAAGAATGTTAGCATTTACTTAAAACTTGGTGTATCCCTGTATTGTGTTCCGACCTCCAGGGCAATAATCGAAGAAGGCCTCGAAAACGCCGCGACAAAGAATAGGCACCAGGRTTGTGCGCAGAATCATAGATGTCAGAAATAGAATGAATTAGTGAGATGCCATAATGAGCTGAAACGATAAAAACGAAAACTGGAATAAATTTCATTGCAAAGTTCAGCTCATGCGGTTCGGTGTCCAACACCGGCCATTKAGGGGCGTGTCCACACGTGTTTTTACAGCACCATTGTCAGGAATCAAGCAAAAAAAGAAGCAAAAACCCATTAGTGAAAGGACCCAATTAACTGTTTGTAACTCATATGATAAACTTGTCGATCCTTGGCGAATGCTAAATCACATTAGGCCCGTCCCATAAGGCAAGAGATGCATGTCTATAGAATAAATACATGATGATCTAATAATAGATTGTCAAAGCATGTACTCGTTTTACTTTAATGGAAGAAATGTTTTGTACAAAGTACTGAAATATATAGCCATTGTTTAAATTTAATCAAAGTATCTACTAGACAAGAATATTCAACATTGGACAAAACAAATATAAGTTCAGATTTATTCCAATGTGTATATGAATATCATATACTGATATAMGATTAATAATGTTTTATACAGCAGAAAAATGCTTGTGTCTGAAACACGATATAATAATACTACATTGTGGCGCTTATTGGACACGTCAACAATTACTATTTTCTCCTCTATAAGCAGGAATCATCTAATGTATGTTGTATGTCTTGAGTGCATTTAATCACCATCAACATTTAGAAAGCGTTCGACATAGATGTGATCTAAGCGAAGGACTAAACATCTGAAGTAAGCTATAAGAACGATTTTATACGGGCAACCGAATTAGTATATCAAGTCATTCAATAGTTTATAAGGAAAGTGAAATACTCTTAATTGTCAAAGCCACAGACGCTTTCTTTATTACTTTAAAATAATCTGGAGTTTTTAACGATACTCCCACCACCCAATTTGTACTTGACCGAACGCATCGCTCGTCAACGACTACTGCACCCACGCCCAGATAACATCATGACAACCCGAGGGCGGAAAACTTCCATTTGTACACAACAACAACGGCTGAGGATAGAAATGAACAGGGGCCGGCGGTTGCTTTGCAATGATTTTATGTACAACCGCCCCCAGAAGTTGTCTGTCCAACCAGTCCTTCATGAAACAAAACGAGAGCATCTTTGCTTTTCTTGTTCAGTCTATGCTTTAATGGATTGAAACAGCTACGCGTGGACGTTAGCGTTTTCTGAATTGCCTTTCATTAAACAGCCAGCGACTTCATGGCCATCTGAAATGCTTACTWMAAMCACTGACAACAATATTTCCAAGCTATTTCTATCATGAAAAGCCTGTTTTGTGAATTGTGATTTCGACATTGATATCAATTTTGTTCAGTGAGACCACGAGAGAGATAGGGTAAGAGCTCGTTTATAAATGAGTGCCGATCAGGACAAAACTAAGTCTATTGGCAAATATGTTTTCTTTTGATTTAGATAATATGTAAGATAAGAAAACACTTAAACAAATATTGGTAGAAAACATACGTAGGAAATTGACCAACACTCTAAGACGGAAATGGTCAGGATTTGCTTGTGTTCGCCGATGCTTTTAGTCATCCATTAGAGGGCTTCTTTGGTTCAGGCTATTTGTTTTATGTGAATCATCTTACTCGTTAAACCGYTTGCTTTTTATTCCCACATTTATATCAGATACAGCAATTTAGTTGAGTACTGAATTCTGTGATAGTCTATTCCAAGCCCGAAATGCATCTTTGGTATTTTTTCATGTAAGTGAAGTTACAATTTGAAACTAAACTGCTGTATATCGAAACACCATCTTAAACGGTGCATAGAAACAGTGAAACCTTTCATGCAAAGCCGTGTGACGACCGTATATTGGTATATTGTACTYAGAGTCAAATAGATATATATGTAATTTATCACTATCTGGTTTGCTAAAATAGTTTACGATATTATTTTGAATTCGACAAATAACGACAAAAAATGCACAAAGAAAAAAACGAGATCGACTAGAAAGGAATATTGTAAAAACAACGAATACGAATCTCTTTTAAATTCATGACTACTATTTTCAACTAATCTTATTCATTTTCAGCGATCGTATTCAGTTTTATGAAACATTGTTTCTAGCGGAGCTTGTCTGACTTGATAGCTATCACCAAAATATTAGGATTTTTATGATTTTAAAATCTACGACATAGAGCTAAATCACTTGAGGTCCTTGAAATATGATGACGCAAAAGGTTTCCAAGTAGTTAAAATCAATCACAATTTGAGGATTTTTATGAAAGTACGCCACTTGTACACAATGTCAACTTGTCATATGTGCTTTAGTTTTAGTACAGTTCGTAAACAGAAGTTTTGAAATGGTGGTCGGTTCTTGAAACATTGGACCGTTTTCATGATATAAACACTGATGGTTTTGTGTTTTACGAGGAAAGTACGCTTTTTGCGAAAAATGTGGTCCGTTTGAGTTGACTTAGCTATTACAGTCTGATGAAAACCACTATTTTGCAAAAACATAGCATTATAAATAGCCCCGAAAACCCGCTATTAAACGGTAGCCTCAGGACGAAGAATATTCCATCACTACAATCCAGATCTTGAAAAACAAGACAATATTGTCCATAGAAATGTTTTTCGGTTTAGGAGGGGTGTCAGGAGTTGAATTCTAATAACGGTTATATAATACGGACAATTCCTTCTTTTCAGATCAGAGTAATATGCAATACCGCTGAACTATGGCAGGACGTGACTGCAGACCTTATAGCGACATATTTGTTGCTGATTAACTTTGTTTTAGATCCTTTCATTTATTTGTTGGTGCGTAAGCAATACAGACGAACGCTCTTGAGGATATGTTGCTGGTGTTTGCCGTGTGCCAAAAATCAAAGAAGACAAAGTATTAAAGTGCGTTTTGCTTACTCTGCCAGCTTGAAAAACAATGAAACCGCTTCACCTGCATCAGATCAAGTAAGTAGATCTAAACCGATTGTTCACATTAATTAACCTAATGATTATTTGACTTAAATCATGATTAATGGATTCATTAACTGATCAATACGATTCCTTGCCCACGAAATATATGGCACACCTTTGCCACCAACCAAAGCCTGTTATAACAACAAACCTATATAATATCTAAATGCCGTTTTAGTTATCCGAACACACTGCTGTGTACTTTTGTGAATGAAACAATTAGTAATTTGCGTAAACTGCAAATGATGTGTTTTCATTATTTGTGTTTGGTGTTCAGAATATCAATCAGTGATATTTGTGAATTGAAAATCTTATTTCCAACGTAAACAAAAAGAATGTTTCTTTCATGATTTTGTGTAAAAAATCTTTCCAATTGTCTGTTTAATCAGTTTTGAAATGCTCTTAAGTCAGAAGATATATATATTCAAAACAAGTTTTTCCTCGCGTGATGCTTGGTGCCATGTTCCCTTTTTTTAAATTTGCACTTTATGAAACATTAGTATTGCTAATAAAAGTGTTGTATTGCAGATCCAAGAGAACAAACTCCATGCCCTTCGTCCGCGTGAAGAGCGCTGTTCAGTTCCTAAGATCCAAACACAAGATGTGAGTGGTGTAACCGACCGCCAACCGGCAGCGACTGACGCACTGGTACATCAAAACACACAACAAAACAATGATCCAAAAGATACAGAACAACGAATTGATATCGAACCAAGCACCGAGCCAAGTAGCCATGTGGTAAGAAATGACAATTCTAAATGGCATAATGGGAATTCCAGTGAATGGAAAAGCTATAGTACTAATTATATTTTCAAATAAATATTTAGAAAAACGATTACAAAGAACGCAGTACTTGTCAGTGCATTAGAGCCAATCCACTTATAGCTTTCACGTCTCCTAACAGCAACCCATTCATTAATGATCAATGGTTTATCCGATTTTGCTTCCTAAGTACAGCTTTTTGATATGAAAATGTTCAATATTGATAAATGATCGTATTTTTCGGATAAAAGCACGGCGTGTAATCTGTTTGCTTTAGACCTGAAAGCCAAATATCACTAATACTGATTTACCAATTAAAAACCCCTTGCAGAGAGCCCGCAAAATAACCATCTAAAACCTTTTAATAGCAATTTGACAGCTTTCACTTTTTAAGTGGTGTACTTTTGCTGGGTAAATAGTGAGTTTTCCTTAATTGTAGGACAAACAACTTGCACGGGAGGAAGATGTAGATCTTGTTGCCGCGGAAACAGCCAACGACGATAAACAAATTCATCCGGGAACTTTAAGAGACAAGCAGGGCATCTTACCAACTATCACAGAAGAGGATGTACGAGATGCGTTACGTAGCTTGGCACAAGATCCTGGCTTCGCCAATGAAGGCATGACAGACGATGTTGATTCTTCGCAATTCAATGAAATCATGGAAACTTTGAAAGAATGTTTCTCTGGGCAAAGATCCCGTAGCAATACAAGAAAAATGACAGGCGACTCGAGTGAGCCTGGAACCAACGATAACGATTTGTTGATTTCTCTTGAGGGTGACAAAAACATTGTTTTCAGTGAAGGAGGCAAAACCGATCCCGTGATAGGCATTCGAGCCTTACAAGTCATGGACATTATCCAGACAAAAAGGAGAGCTAAACAAATTGAAAAAATGGTGTAAATAATTATCAATTCAACATATTCAGCGATGTACATACAACAATCAATAATTCAAGCGTTTTGGTGGTAAAGGATCCCATAATGCAATGCGAACCCTTAGCAATCCCATGAACCAACATGTACCGCAATATAAGCCCATGGTGCATTGCCGGTAGCAACAGATAATGATGTAAATTGTGCGAATTACGGTCAAATGCTTTATTTTTTCCTCAGGAAATCATTAGGTAACCTTATTACCATTCATGATGGAATTATCATTTGGGGACTTCCATGCAATTACTTACGATACTGTAAATAAAATCTTTAAGCTAAACATTCTTGTAAGTGATATAAGGGTATGGTAAATTCCTAGGGGTTAGATTATTTGTTTCAGTGAAAAAAAGGAATTTAGGTTTGACATTTTAAATCGACAGAGTTTGGGATGTATGATATACATCTATTTCAAAAAACGTTGTCGTCGCAAGGACACAATCCACAGTCTTAAGCGTGCAAAGAATCTCGGGATTGCAATATATACTATATATTCACTTTCAGTTATTCAAAATTCTCGATTTTGTAGCGAATATAGCTTTGAAGCTCATAGATGGTTTAAAAACGCGGAACATTTTTCAAGGAAAATGCCTAATTGCGAGACTTGTTTAATACTGAACCGGAATAGTTTTGTTTGCTTCCATTGACTGAATTCAAACCACATAGGCAAATACATTTTGAAAACATTAATTACGCATGGAAACCCTGAGATTCTTTGCAGGCTCAAGACTGTGGACTGTGTCTTGGTGACGACAACTTTTTTTGAAATATGTGCATAACGCTGCTTGTTTGACTTTGCGTCACTTCTGAATTCACGACACCTTTTGAACTCAAAAGGTCATTTCTTTAAAGTTCGTTGTTTTTCCGCATGCTCAACGGTCTTCTCTTCTACGTAGAGTCCTTTGCGTTTCCGTACAGTATTCATGTATTTCCGAGCCTGGTTATCACTATCAGCTTTAGCGCCAAAATGAGTATATTCTTCCTCAGTGGTTGGAACCCAGTACGGATCGATGTCGATAACCTAATTAAAATTGCAAACAAATCATAAGCACGCTACACATTGTAGCCACTTCGCCTTTTCGTTATAATAACCAGCCAATCGCATTGGGTTTAACAATTTCAAACGAAGGGTCCACCAAATAAACGTTTCTCCATAATAGTCCCCTTAACCTGTACGGCGGTACCGTAGTCCCCTTAACCTGTACGGCGGTACCGTAGTCCCCTTAACCTGTACGGCGGTACCGTAGTCCCCTTAACCTGTACGGCGGTACCGTGAAGGGGACTATTATACTAGGGTTCCTCCACTAGATGGTGCAAAAACAAATGTATCCTTACCTCCCAGTGACTGAATACAAGTTGGGGGTTTGCCAAACCACTTGTTCTCTTACGAATCTCTTCTGAAAATCCGAAACTTTCCGCTACTGGTAATAATGCTACAACGTCAAACACGTCTGAACCCTCCATCATCGTCTCACTCAGTACCCTTCCCTCTCTCTTTCCAATGACAGCATACATTCTACCTAGAACCTCAGCAGTGGTCTGGATATGACATGTATACATCGCTGCCATGAGACGCATTGCTTGGAGTTGAAATGCTCGCCTGCAGCCTTCTTTGATAGTCGACATAAGCTGCCCCGAAAAAGGTCCAAATCTATCGATTGTAAATTCAGTTTTTATTTGATGTTTTTCTTCAGGCGACACTTCACTATTTATGCTATCCACGCTGACATTTTCTTGTGCATTGTGAGCTAAAAGTATAGTTTGATCTTCCAAATCTGCAGTTTTAGTGTCTGTGTTAGGGCGTGTAGAGCAGGTTTGATCTGTATTTGATAAGTCTGTAGTAATGTTTTCAATCACAAAACAAACTCCCATTAAAGGTTCTTCACACAATGGACCAGCAAGCGTTGCAAGTTGGAAGCCACTCAGAATGCTATTGTCGTAATTACGATATTGAGGATCTACTGGTCTAGTATCTAAAAACAACATCAATGTCAGTGATTAATAAAAACTCATTATTTGATATATGTTGCAAGTGGCTGAAAACACAAATCCCCATAAATACACACACGATATGTACAACAGGCATAAATACACACTAGATATGTACAATAGGCATAAATACACACACGATATGTACAATAGGCATAAATACACAC